CCTGGGTGGAGAGAGGCACTGTGAGAGTAAAGTGTCTTGCCCAAGAACACAACACAGTGTCCCCAGCCAGGGCTCAAACCCGGACCGCTCGATCCAGAGACAAGCGCACTAACCATGAGGCCACCCATTGTATGAAATGCAAATGAGTGTCGCTAATCTTGTAAACGAGTTCTCAGAAACCTTGTTCCTCTGAACGAGTTCCAAGAACGCTTACCGATGGAACGCTAACAGAACAGGAACAGAACAGCACAGAACTGATACAGAACAGGAACGGAAAGTATACAGAATGGATATGGAACGGATACAGAACAGATACGGAACGGATACAGAACAGGAACGGGAACACGTGTGAAACGGAAACAGAACACGTTCAGTTAAGCGTTCCCTGTTAGGTTTCTTCTGATTGGTACTGTAAGTCTTTAATATGGTGTAAGAAGTTAACATCATGCCAAGTCTTATATATCACGAATGACTTTGGTTTTTAAAAGGTCTTGACTTCAGTATGTAACTTAATTTTCTGAACAGTTCATATTTGTGTCCGGCCTCGCTATTTAGTATTGAATGCTTGGGTGATATTTTGCCTCAAAGCACTGGAAATTGTGTTTCCGAGCTTCCCAATTTCAAAAACTTTCTGGGGGGCATGCTCCCCCATACCCCCTATACACAGCTCGAAATTGCAACTCACTGGTTGCCAATGCAACCAAAAATTGCGCACTGGCGACTAAACTTTCAGAACTGGTTGCCAGCTGGCGACTCGCGTTTTGTCCAATAACTAAAAAAAACCACAACACAACTTTTGTTTTTAAATCTTTATATTAGGAAATCAATCAGATATGGTAGCTAGTATACAACTCACTTTTCGGTCCCCAGTAAAATAATGTCTGAATATTACAAGATAATCGAAAAATTGAATGTATTTCGACACGTCGATACTGTGTTCATGGCGCACCATACTGTTTCAGCGGCTTCTTCCGAAACTGGGATCGCAGGCGCACTTCAACACCACGTGCTTTTTATTTGCTGTGAAAATGGCGGCAGATACCAATGAGTTAAGGAGTTACATGAGTTTTTATGTGCGGGGAATGAAGATTCAGCCAAAAGGTTAATCGAAACTTTGAATCCTTCATCAGTTGTTGATGTAGGGAAAGTGGATTTCACCAAACTGCCGAAGGATATAATATCCTAGGAACTAGCTTAATTCCAGGCGTCGAGGAAAACAAGTCGAAAATAAAGAATGGCATTTCAAAGAAGTAGCAAAGGGAAAATACGCAAGGATCTGTGTTTGTCTCACAATGAAAACCACGGACTTAAAATGTTTTAAGGTTCGCTTCATTTAAAATGACTATGAAGACAACCATCACCTTCGAACCAGAGACATATCACCTGTTTCTAATTATTTTCGCTCTTCAATTGTGACTTTTCTTGCATGCAAAGTAACGTATAAAATCATGTTCTTGTGTAAGTTATATATAAAATAAGGTGGCGACCAAAATTTACAATCTGGCGACCAAAAGTTTTCCATTAGTTGCCAGCTGGCTCCCGAACAAAAAAGTTAATTTCGAGCCCTGCTAGAGGACAAGTGGCCTTCAGTGCCTTTTATCAGCTCCGGCAGGTGCTAACTAAAGGGAGACACCTACTTCAAATCTTACTGAAAGCACTGCTTTTGTGCAGGGCCTGAATCTTGTCACTAGCTTATCACTTATCAATAAAACTCAGCATCTGACTTCAACTAACCACAGCTCGCCTCCGTCACTTTCATAGACTTCCCCTCCTACCCCTGGTGGGGTACAAAATAGCGAACTCAAAGCTTAGTCTGTATCATGTTACATGTATCTAAGACTGTAAAACAAACTTCTGTAGGCAGATTAAATGTGGGAGTTCTTTTAAAGTGCAAATGACAGTTAAATTACCGTTTTGGTGGATCTTAACGCTTAAAATATTTGTCAAAAGAAGTGTTTGTCTACTAACAACCAACTTGATTACAATCCGCCAACTCGAGGTTGCAGAGCTACAAAATGCCTACTGATGGAGTCAATAACTAACCGTTTACCTTCATATCGCTCAGCTTGCTCCGCTAGCTTGGCCATAAACACATTCTCTTCTCTCCCTGCCATATTGCTGCCGTTGAAGCGAAGTTCTTAGCCACAGAAGTGTAAAATGCCGGTAATATTCTTGCTCAAACGAAGGGCGTCAACCGTATTAGTGACCAGGCCCTCAGCTCGTTTCGAGTCTTTACCATTCTCCGCTCCTGGGAGTGTGCCGGAAGTATTAACGAAACTTCCGGCTTAAGTTGCAAGCTTTTCTTTTGAATTTTCCTCATTTAAAACGTACTGGCTTTGTTCAAAATTCCAAGACGTCTGCATTTAAAATTCAAATACAAAAACCAACGTTTTATATTTCTTTTTTGAAATTCCTTTTTTCGTTTTTCGATTGAGATGAGATTCGATGCTATAGTAGCCAGCGAACATAGGTCCCGGCGAGGACGACAAAAAAATTCTGCCAGCGAAGCGAGCCGATGAGCGTGAAACGCTCGTCGGGAGTCTGTATGCAGTCTAATGCATTTAAAGAATTACTCAGCTGCACGTTTGTTGATGGCTTGAAATAAGGAATATAGATGAAATGAGTTGATGTATTCGTAAAGAAATCGATTTTGCCTATGGAGCGAAATGACCGTAATTCGAAGCCCTGGAGGATAGGAGTGGCCGGAGTTACGCTGGCCCAGGGTATCATTTTTCGCGAAACTGACCAGTTGGTTGAGGATTTTATCTAGACTAAGGAAACCAGGAATTGCCGCTCAAAAATATAAAAAAATCAAATCGGTAAGATTAAATTTACGCAACTAAGCCTCTACAATGTCGATAGATGGGGGAATTTGGGGAGTTTACTCTAGTATAGGGTAGGAAAATTCTGAACTAGCTCTGGTTTAGGCTAAGGGTTCCAGGGTCCCAGCGGCACATTCCCACCCAGAAATTCCCAAAGTACCCCCCCCCCCCCTGGCGGGTGGGTATCGCACTTACATGTCGTTATGAAAAAGATTTACAATTTCCCCGAGAAATCTGAGCTGCCAAAGTTTATACTTCTGGTGAAAATGTAATTGACTTATTCTTTTCTGCGGTTCCGGGTTGGAAATAAAAAATTTGCAGAGATCAGAGCAGGCTCACTTTCTCGTCTCGCGGCTTCGCCGCTCGATTTCGCGCGCGCGCTTGTACTCCAACGTGAGCCCGCTCGCAGGCTAGGGTTACGCAGATTACAAAATTTCTGCAAGAAATTCCCCATTTCTCGAAAGCCAAAACTTTACATGACTTTCTATTCCACGATGAAGCGTAGCCCGGCGAGCATCCTGGGAATCAGGCTACTCGGAGAAAAAAAGAAGGGAAGGCCCGACAGTCAGTTCAACTTGATCAACTTTGAAATTTAGTTTGTTAATTGCTGATCAATTATTATCAATTTCTCATATGTAAACGGTCATCTAACATAGCCGAAATATCCGAGACATGTATATTACGGTTTACTTTTTTTAATTTGTCTTCTTCTCCTCTACCAAGTGTTTAAGGCCCCTCATTCCGAGTTTAATCGCAGCGTATTAAATAATTCCGTCTTCTTTTCTCTGTCAACTATCTTCTCTCACTGGACTTTCTCTCGCCTACACTCAGCTTCAAAACATTAAGGCAAAATGTATGGTGAGGTGCACATTATTGCACCTCAATAATTACTTCAATAGAGCAACCCCCTCCTATCCCTCAAAGGATTCAAAATTCAGGTAAATTTTTCCAAGTTCCTGACGAAATACTACTAACCTTTGATGTGCCCCTCGATTAAGGGTGAATTTTGTATGGCAACAGCCATGGCAACATAAATAACTTTTGGTGTTTTGAAACTCTTGCTCATGCCTGTTTTGATGAACCTTTTATTTCACATAACTGGTAATCACTGCACCAATGGACTGCCCAGAACAGTTCAGAAAGCGAGACACTTGGAAAGCAAATAATTTGAAAACTCAGTGTGTGCCAGTATCTCTGGAGATGGTTAGCAAAGTGACAACAGGGAAAATAGTCAGACTTTGGACAACTATGTTCTATTGATCTGATTATAAACAAAAAAAAACACCCATTAAATTGCTTAATATCCAACCACTCTCCAACAATGTGCATGGAACCATGGTTGCCACAGGCATCACTTTTCAAAATTCTGCAAATTTTCCCTGACAAAAATAAGATTTCCCTGACCAAATGAATACAAAAAGTCAGATCTAGTAGCAGCTCCTGGCCACTACTTACAGGCGTCCTTTCTACACTTCAATTAAGACTAACAAGTTTTCAACATATTTTCCTTCTTTGTTAAGGAAAAATATCGTTGAAATCTCAGTGAACCCAAATGTTTCTTCTAGCCTTCTACGGTATTAACATGTAAATCATTTCAATTTTCCCTGACTCAAAATTAAGTTCAGACTTTTCCGACCTTGAAGAATTTTTTTCCCCCAACCATTTCCTGACCTGTTGCAGCCCTGCGGAATTAAACTTCTCTATGAGAAAAGCTTTCCTCTAGATTGTCAACTCATCCTCAGCCAGGCAATCTTCTCAGTGCCCAGCCCCCAAGGGGGGGGGGGGCACTGCCATATATGGGCTATATAGGTATATGCCACTGTGAAGGGTATGGTTTTCA